TCATAATGTTGTAGACACGACCTGCATTATTGGCATCACTGACAATAGGAAAAGATATCACTGTTGGGTCCGAAATAGACTATGGTACAGTTTAAAAATCAGTTATTGTAAATTGCAAGACAAAATAAGCTAGATCAGCATGGAAGCCAATAAACCAACCCTATAGTGCAGTGCCGCCTCAAAGTTTGATTGTGAAGTTTTATTCGCAGACTGTGCTGCAAGGCATCACCTTTAATACGAACAAGAGTTGATTCCTTACAATTGAAATGAACAAAAACAGAACCCAGATTCATTTCCTTGTTCTAAAGGTGTACAGGTTTAGCTAGTTGTTGGCAGACAAAGAAAATGCACATAGAGACAGATAAGTTAGCATCTCTTTTTTGCCCCCTTGTAAAAGTACTTGTACCAAAGTAAAACTGCGGGGTAAAATTAGTATGGCTTCCCATGCAAGATAAAGGAAGCCAAGACTTCCCCCAATCACGTAAAATAACCAAAAGAGTAAAATACACCGGATGTCCATTAATTTTCGTTGGGGTGTCATCTAGGTCTATCAACTATGAAACTGTATTTTTTGGTCCATGAACTTTTAAAATGGTTCACTGCAGGTCCATGCAATTTATTTAACCTTAAATCCAACGTATGTTTGCAGAAAAAACCCTATCTTTCTTTATCTTCAGACGCGGTCGCCATCCGCGCACCTTGTCAAGCGGCTGCGCCAGCACGAGGCGCTGCAGCGCCGGTGCGGCCCAGGCACTGAGGCGTATAGGGCCGCGGCCGCGCGGCTCAGATCCTGGCGCCGCAACGGCACCAAGGACGGTGTCTGCAGGTACCTCGTGCTGGTGCCATACAGGGCCTCAGGAACAGGATCCTGGCCGCGGCGTCGGCGTTCCTCTACGAGCGTCTCGGCATACAGGTCCGCCTTGCGCTGTTCCTTCCACTCACGTTCGAGGTCAAGGCACCAGCAAGCCGGGTGCCCGGCCGTCCAACGGCACGACAGCCAAGGTGAAGGCCGTGCTGGTGGCCTCCCTGAAGCCAGAGTACTACGACAAGCTGCACAGCGTGTACTACACCGACGCGACGGCGACCGGCGAGGTTGTCATGGTGTACCAGCCGAGCCACGACCAGGACCAGCACTTAGAGGCGCGGGACCACAACGAGCGCGCCCTGGCCAAGATCTTCCTGCTCAGCTACTGCGACAGGTTGGTGACCACGGGGTTCTCGACGTTCGGCTACGTCGCGCACTCGTTGGCTGGGCTGCGCCCCTGGCTACTGATGCTGCTGGACCGGACTACGCAGAGGGCCACCGTGGCTTGTGTTAGGCTAGCGTCGGTGGAGCCATGCCTGCACTCGCCGTTGTCGCTCGTCTGCCGGGTGGAACAGGATCTTGACCCGGTGGTGCATCTGCCCTTCATGCGACACTGCGAAGATGTGGACTCCGGCGGTGGCCTCAAACTGTTCGATTGATTATTGCTGTTTTACTCGGGGTGAACAAGTTTGAGCCCCCAGCTCATGTCTTCACAGTGTTGGACATGCGGCACCAGCTTTCCCGTATCAGCGCCGTGCTTCGCCCTGCAGTCGTAGAACGGCGGCCGTGCATGCACGGCTCCATCGACTTGGCGCACCGGCACGGCGGGTACGACGTGGTGTGGTTCTCAGGCCTAAACATGATCCACGGCGTGAGCCCACCGAGGTCGTGGCCGACGTAGCCGAACGTCGACCAGCCGCTGGTGACGATCTTGTGGGTCATGCCCAGGAGGTACATCTCTGCCACCGCCTTCATGTCATGCATCGTGTAGCCGGAGAGCTGGTGCTCCTCGTGGCTCGGCTGGTACACGCTCATGACCTCGACGGTGGCCGTTGCCGACTGCCAATACTTCCACCGGATGTTCTCGTAGTACCACGAGCTCAGGCCGGTCATCAGGACAGCCTTCCACCGCGCATCGGCCATCGATGGACGGGGCGGTTCCTGCGTCACCACGTCGGGGAGCAGATGTTCTTGCAACGTGCAGGCGAGGATCTGATCCAAGATGTGCTAGAACGGAGTGTCCCCATCGAACACCCTGACCTGGATGCCCAGCCTTTCGTCTGAGTCCCTCAGGTACGAGCTGTGGAACCTCGTGATCAGTCCCCACACTTTGTTCGTCGGGTGGAACAGGTAGTGCGCCAGCAGGTAGAACACCGAGTCTTTCCGAGGGAACATCCTGTCGAGCTCGTCCCCGTGCGCCGGGTTCGTGAACAAATACGCACGGCGCAGTAGACGTCCGTCCTCATCACCAGCCAAGGCGCGCGGCAGAGGAACTGCAGCTCGTCGTTGCAGAAGAAGAGCTTGTCGTGGTACCTGCAAGAATGGTCGAGGTCCACGAACACGTACGGGAGCCTGGGCACGAGCGACGCCACGCTATCGTTCTGCACTAGGTTCCTGTAGCTCTTCTGCACGTCGCCCGCCAGGTTCTGGAGGTTACTGATCGGGAAGTGCTGCGGCAGCAGCCACGAGGTCCCCGGGAACGGCTCGCAGAAGATTTCGCCCATTGACGTGTTCCCGTCGAAGAGCAGGATGTGGTCGGTGAGCACGGCGGCGTGAACGCCGACGCCAGCGGTCGATCCTGCTCTCGAGGCCTCTCAGACGGCACACCAAAGACGAGGTACCTGCAGACGCCGCCCTTGTGTGCCGCTGCGGCGCTAGGACTCGAGCCAGCGGCCGTGCGTGGCCATGTATACCTCGGTGCCCGGGCGCACCGACTGGCATTGCAGCCGCTTTCGTCTTTGGTGCGTACCGCTTGATGAGGTCTTGTGCGACGGTGACAAATGTCGAAGATAACGAAAGGTAGGGGTTTTTCTGTAAATGTACGTTGGATTTAATGTTAAATAAATGGCATGGACCTACAATGAACCATTTTGAAAGTTCATGGACCAAAAAATGCAGTTTCAAAGTTGATGGACCTAGATGGCACCCAACGAAAGTTAATGGACCTCCGGTGTATTTTACTCTAACCAAAAAAATAGTAATAGATATATTCAAGTTCAGAGGCAAGCACATCTATCTAAATAACCAAAAAATAGTAGCATGCCCGTGCTAATGCTACAGTAAAAACCAAAAAGACGGTATTTTTCTAAACACACGCCCTCCCCAGCTCTCCCTTCCGCACGGACGCTCTCGGCCTAGGATGGTCCAAATGCTAGGCTGTAAATCCAGCTCAACCAAAGCTAATATTACAGTGGCAGAGCCACAATGTAGAATGAGCATATAATCGTATCACCATCATTTTTTTCTCAAAAATTTAAATATTACCGTGTGATGGCATAGTAAAATGATTCCAGTGCATGATGAATAAACGAGCTAACTCAAATAAGAAAACCACAGGGAGAGCGCTAACCGCTAACATCAGTTACAATCACCAATGACGACTGAATGCACTTTCCCTGCAATTATAATAAAAACTATGAATCCGTTGCCATTAACAAAAGAAACCCCAGCCAAACTATTTGTCTAGCGGGATTCACAAATGTGCAGTATCTGTGCCAAAAAAGAAATATAACGGATGCTACAATCCAATTTTTTTCGTTAATAAATATGCATGCTGTAATTACTCAAACAAAAAATATGAAGCATTTTCTGGGTGCCATCTGAGAATGGCTTGAGGTCGCTCTAGAAGCGAGGTCATGAAAACATTCAGGGTCTGAGATATCTTGGTTAACTTCACGTTGCTGCATGAGTTAAAAAAATGTGAGAAGTCGGCCCGAAGGACAATTTGTGTACCTTTCACGACATGCACCAAGAAATCCATTTAGAGTGCAAACAGCCAAGAACCCAACATTATAATCCATATGAGAAAAATATATGAGAATGCGTGTGGAAGGCCAGAAGTGATCAAATTATGGAGCACTAATGTATCTACCGGAAACATCTTTTTTTTTGTTAGTGAGCTAAATAGAGCATGTCAATAGAAATTTATACTATTGGTTATACTAAATGCCTTAATAGTTTGCAATACATCCATATTTCTAGTAGCATGGCTCACTTTTAGCGACCATTTAGAGAACCAATTACAGTTAGTGGGGAACACTTGTAACCAAAAAATATTCAGAAAAGAAGTTTAACCAACCAGCCCAAATTCATTCAGGAGCCACTGCCAACAGGAATATAAAAGGCTAAGTTGTAAGTTCAAAATTAATTTGTTGCTGTCAAAAAAAAGTTCAAAACTAATTTACTCACCTCCCATATTTACTGAGTAGGTTCTCAATGTCAGTTTGCCAGGCAAGATGGGCAATGTAGCAAACGAATAACTTTGTGTTACTAACTTGTTGACCAGATGGATCATATCGACATATTTTATGCTGCAAGACAAAAAAAGGTCAAGATACCCGCACAGAGGATATTTGTGCGAGAGCTAACGGATATGCAAATAGACTTGATACATGATATGTCAATTAATTGGTCTACCTTTACCACATCATGTTGCTCCTATTCAAGGTCCATACATAACACACATGAATAAATTACTTCTAATGAAATATTTCGTAATAGTCAAGATTGATTTAGGATGTTCCATACCTAGTCAGACGTTATGCTCCATTGCTACATGAGCGTAAACTGTGAGCGGCAAATTAGAAGATCATCATGCTCCATAGCTTCATGAGTCTAAAGTGAAGTTGAAGTTAAAAAATCATTAGGCTCCATAGCTTCGTGAGCTTAAATTGAGGCTAAAGATACAGGAACATAGGTACACATTGAATCCATGTTGAGAAAAATGTATCTGAGAATGTCCATCTAAATTTCAACATCAGTAATTGCACCCAAGCCAGAAAATCACGTATCTTGATCCCATTTGCACTATCTATCCAAAAGCCACCAAGATGGGGAGGATGAAGAGCAGGAGGGCTAGGAACATTCAGTGGGAAGCACACAGATCTGCAGGCGCAGATCCAGTATAGGACATGGGTGTGAACATGATAATCTTTGGAAGGGATTGAAGACTGTAGGCGCATATCCAATAAAGGACATGGGTGTGCACAGGTATGCATGATAATCTTTGGAAGGGATTGAATTTAGCAGGCATAATACATGTAGACACATGTAATTAGATCAGTGCGGAATAAAAATAGCCAATTAGCTTAAGTTAGGGTTCGGTGCTCGGTTTCACACTTTCCCACAGTAGGAACGCACCGGCGGGCGATCCTGGAGGCGGCCTCGTCCGGCGGTGTCGAAGGATTCGGTTTCGGTGCTCGGTTTCGCACTTTCGCACAGTAGGAAGGGATGAGAAGGGATTGGCACACCTGGCGATCCTGCTGCGTCGCGTCGGGGCAGTGGCGGGCGATCGTGGAGGCGGCGGCGGCCGGTGGCGTCGGGTCGGCGGCGCAACTCCGGCGTCCGGTGGCGTCAGGCCCATCGATGGATCGGGATTGAGGAGGACGGAGCCGAGGTCGCGAGGAGGAGGCCGCGGTGTCGCGAGGTCTCGTGAGGGCGTCGCACGAGGCCGAGGCGGCGGCGGCGCGAGGAGGAGGCCGCGTCATCGCGAGGTCGCGAGGAGGAGGCTGCGGTGTCGTGGTCTCGTGAGGGCGTCGCACGAGGAGGAGGAGGAGGAGGAGGCGGCGACGCACGAGGAGTGGGCGCGACGAGACGAGACGGACGATTCGGTCCCACCTGCCGGCGCCTTCCAACTGGAGTTGCGGTATCACACGATGAGGCAGAGCGACGCGACGAAAGGATGGTCGCACCATTCCGATGTCTTAGTTTGAGTCTTTTTAATTGCGATATATATATATATATATTATATGTTTGATACCACACTGAAATCTTTATATGCATGTCGTTAGGTCTTACTACTAACTAGTATAATGTTGTTATTGCAGTTGCACGTCCACCCTGTCGAGCTCTGCTTTCTCTTCGAGGCCAAAAAGAGTACGTACCCCATGCTCACTCAACTTAATTAACAGGACAGATGGTTATGCCAACTATTGGGTTATACCGCAGTTCCCAGAGATATACTCTATCGACAAGCTCAGTTTCATTTTGGGCCCAATGTCCACTGGCACTTTAAACGTGACAATGGTAGAGCAAGAGCAGCCGCCACTGGACCTAGGCATATTTAAAATACTGATGATCGCCATGGGAAGTGAGAGAGAACTTAAAGATCTGGTCTCATGTATTGGCAACGAACCAGAGATCCTGAAGCTAGTTGAAGAGTTGGGTGAAGATGTGCATTCCGCAATTGTGGCCGCTGTCGACTGCCAACCAAGGGAGAGATCGTCTCCCCCGAAGGTGAGTTGGTTGGTTGGTTTTCATCTGTTTTAATTAATCTGGATTATATTTTTGTTGTGTCAGACCGTATCGTCGGTGTCATTTACGAGCCTGGGAGCCATAGATGTGCATCCCACAAAGCCATGGTCAGAAGATTTTGACGCTTGCTAGCTGTGTTACTCCTTGTGGACACCAAAAATAAAAATAAAAAATGAGTTCCATGTATCTATCTTACACTTACTTTCGCTCTAATTTCATCATGTAGGATTTTGGCGGGTGGTAACAACTATCTTACCATTTGGGACCAAAATGAGGAGGTAATAATGGCATATAAGTATTTGTGATTCGTCTCATGCGCGCGTCAGCTATCGATCATGTTCTATTATTTTCACGAGCTGAGATGGTTGCTGAACCGTTTATTTATTCGCATCGATCTGGCGCAGTTTTATTTATTAACCCTAGCTATGAGCATTGAGCAGGCACAATACTAACTCTTTTCATTAAAATTGTCAGGCAACAGTGTTTGCATTAGATGTGAATGAGGAAGGAAGCACGGTCCCAAGACTAGGGATTGTGGCGGTTATATTCATCCCTCGAAAGCAATGGTTTGTGACCACAGATGATGCGGGATATGTCCAAGTCTACTCCTGTGAAACATGGCAAAGAATAAAGACATTCAGAGTTACCAGTACCAGTCATAGCCATAGCTTTGTCATGTCAATGGCGATTCACCCTATACCCACCCATACCTGCTATTGGCGTGTATTGACGACCTGTTCGAGCTCTGGAACTGGGACAAGGGCTGGACCTGTTCTCAAAAAGTTCGCTCATCCTCTGACAGTTCAACCCTAAGTTATTTCACTGTCAAATTTAATCCAAACAACACGGAGACCTTTACGAGCGGCGACAGATACTCTGGACTGAAGGTTGGTCTCTTTCCCTTCCCTTGTGCTAGTTTTTCTTTTTATGCTATTATTACTATTATATATATTCCTCCCCTTTTTTCCAAAATAGTAAATACACTTTAGTTATGCATTTAGGCAAACCCTTGTCTAGATATGTATAACTAGAAGTTGATTTATTTGGGGATCAACGAAGTATGATAAGCTTTAGGTCTGTTTGGACACAGTGGCTAATTGCTAGCTAGCTAAAAATTAGCTTGAGTGCACTGAAACAGTAGAGTTAATAGGAGTGCTAGTTTTTAAGCGAGTCTTCAACTAGTTGATAGCCAACTAGCTAGCCAACCATAACTAATTTGAGCTAATTTTTAGCCGTAACTAGTAACTAGCCGTGTGTATCAAACAGGCCCTTAGTTCATGTCCTAACCTAGTCTGACTCTGGTCTTCTACCTCAAAACCCCGTTTAACAGGTCTGGTCAATTAATGCTCCGAATAAGCCCATCACAACCATACAACAGTATTCTGATACTTACATATTCTATGACCATGTTTTCACTGAGGCTAGTCAGAACCATGTGGTTGTCGGCAAAGATGGTCGTCTAAACGTAAGTATTGCTGTGTGTGTTTGTACTGGATACCAATCGATCGACTCGAATGATGTGAAATTCATATTTTTGGTTCTCATGTTGAATCAGATATGGGATTTGCAGACAGGGACACGTGTTCACACACTCTATGAGACTGGAAAATATTTTAATACCGCAATAGCTTGCCACCCAACACTTCCGCTAATAGTTGCATGTGTCTATTCCAAGGATTCCCCAGGCCAGCCACTTGTTCGCTTCTGGAACTCCACTAATTACAGGTGCGTGTACTCTCTCTCTCTCTCTCTCTCTCTCTCTCTCTCATGTATGTATGTATGACCATGCATATTGTATACATGCATGTAGGAAAGAAGTGAGCCTATCTATTTGCATATGGTGTATCAATCATGAAAAATATTTCCTTAGTGAGTTATGGTAGGACATAACAATTCATGTTAAATGGTATATTAATACTCAATAACACAAAATTATGAGTTACAATATTATATAAAATTTGTTATATTTGAGATTGAATAGTGTACACTTACTATCTCCGTCTTGAAAAGAATGCAACTATGGGTTGTGTGCCACGAAAAGTGGTTCACTTTGACCAAGTTTTTAGTGAATAATATTCACATTTATGGCTTTAAATTAATTTATTATGAAAATACATTTTGTAATTAATCTAATGGTATTTATTTGGTATCATAAATATGGATACTTTTTTATCTATAATTGGTCAAACTTAAGGTACTAAAACGTGATATTATGCTAGAATTGCATTCTTTTTGGCACGGAGGTAGTATATTGATAGATCAATTTAAGCACACTAGTATAGATTTTTCTTACAGACGGCTTCCATTTCTAACAGAGGCGGATGACATAAAAACCGTCTGTAACTATGGCATGGAGCATTGTAGCTCCCGAACCATCCCTGGAAATCAATTTTCAGGGGTGATTCCATTAAGAAAACTGTAACTAGAGACGTATCCATTTTTAGGGACGGTTGACATAAGAGTATGCATTTGCTAACATTATTAGGAGAACCATGCATGAATATTTTTAAGAGAACCGTGTCTAAAAATTCTTAATAATTTTCATACATTATTCCCAAATAATGTTAGCAAATACATACTCCAAAGCATATAGATTCATTGATAATTAACTGAATTTTAATTTATCACAATGGCAAAAAGATTTTGGAATATCTATATGGGTATTGGATTAGAAAATAAAAACTAAGAGTGTGGATGCAAAGATAAGCAATTTTAATTAGGTGTACTCTGTCAAGTTCATCAATGAACTTCTAGTATGGTTATCTATTTTTTGAATACTTAAGTGTCTTCTAACCAGTGTAGGAGCATGGATTTTATGCACTTGCCCTCAACAATAGCTCAAAACGTATTTGGGAATCTCCACAAAGCCCCTTAAAACCGTAAAGTTTTTACATGTATGGAATTATAGGAGAGACATTGCAGCTCTTGCATGCTCTGCGCCATCGACACCTCTATCACACCACCGCTGTCCACTAGTGACCACTTGTAGTTGTAGCTACCACTACACCACAACACTAAAACATTGTCACATGTCAGTCGCTAAAAGTTGACAATTAAAGTATACTAGAGGATCATTTTGTCGCCTTCCTTACACTGTCACTCCTGACTCCACTCCTAGCGAGTTCACCATTAATCTGTTTAGCTTCACCCATGACTTCCTAGTTGCTTGTTGCATGATTGCCCAGCCGCTCATCTCGCTAACCTACAACCACATTGGCCACTATTTGCCACTTTTGCCCATCTAGACATCGGCCCCATCATTGGTCGCCTCTCATGCGTGCTCAACATGTTTAATGAATTGCCTAGCAATCAACATATCTTGTTTAGTTAGAATACAAATTAAGAAAAGGAATAAACAAAATAAGTGCCCGTTTGGCATAGCTCTAGATCTGAGATCTATGATGAATTTATAGTTTGTAGGTTAAATTAAAGTGGTTTAAATATTTTTATTTAATCTAAAATATAAATAAAATGAGCCATGTAAATGCACTTAACATGTCTGCAACTTTAGCCCCAGGATTTCTTAGAACTACAGAGAAACCCATAGATTTTCAGCTAGGGCTGCCAAATAGGGCCTAAGGTGTAGGAAATAGCGGGGCTAGGGGAGCAAAAGGACAAAACTATGTTCTATATACTAGTGGAGGCCTCAATAATAGATTTAGGGGTTGTTGGTACTCCTAAGCACTTAATTCTTAAACGGCAAGCGCACAATGCATATAGTTTTATCTTTTCCCTTATAGTATTCCAAGACTTATATTTAATTCATGAAAAGTAGGCAAGAGATTAATCTAACCCAAAACATCAATTAAACAAGTTTGTTATGAACATATTCTAACCTAAAGCTAGCCTAATCTAATTCAAAGTCAATTGTAAAGCTAGATAGCATCTAATCATATCCTCTAATCATAAAGGCATATTTAGAGATCAATTAGAGCTATAAACCATATGAGTATCTTATATCATTGACACATTATGCAGTGCGGTAGGTTTATAGGTGTTTGACACATATATGCTTTTGTAAAAGTTTTGTTCCATCTGTTGAGGCCTTGTTTGGAATAGAGGAAGTTCAAAGGAATTTCAAAGGAACCCAAACCTCTGTTTTGCTGATGTCACTACGCGTTTGGTATGGAGGAATCGGCAACCAACTTTCCATAGGAACGGTAGAGAAGCATGTACTTTTGTAGGAAACAAAAAATGAGCTCCGAGTCGATGGAAAATTTCCTACGGTGCTTGCGCTCACGCTGTGCTATGGATTCCTGCGTTTTTCCTGTGTTATGGATTCCTGCGTTCCAAACATCATTTTTAGTTATTTCCCGCGTTTTTCCTTTCCTCTGTTTTACCACTACACACTCACCCCATTCCTGTGTTTTTTCCAGTTCCCGTGTTTTTGATTCCTGCATTCCAAATAGGCCCTGAATGTTGAATACTTGAAATATTGTTGAAGGATAGACCACTAACAGTGAAACTTCGCAAGTTTCAGGCTTGAGAAAACTGTTAGCTGCACGTGTTTCAACAGGATCAGACACCTTGGATTTGTGGGCTCAAGGAGGTATACAACTCACTATGTATATGAATAAAGGGATGCTAGGTACCCTAATAAATTACCCTTATCATATATAGAAGTGGATTATCAAATGGTCTTTAACGAACTACTATAACGAAGGATCTCAAAGCATGTCTAGTTGACCTGTTTGATCACACCCTTTTTGTTTTATGAAATTTTTAGGAAGCAATAAACTGTCAATTATGGCGTGCTTCATCCAACTTGAACGTACCCTAAGCTATAAGATGGTCCAGAATTAACCATTAAATTTAAAATTACTGATTTAACCATTAAATTTAAAATTACTTTTTAAAGCCTATTAGGTCGGTTTGGACAGTGGTTTTGCAATGTGCAGCATCGAATTTTCTTTTCAAAGGGTCATCTGTATAGGTCATGCAGGCTATAAAATGAGGACGTCGAAAAAGTCATGGTAAGTTTGACCATTATAATTGTGTGAAACAGAACAAGTATTGGGAACCTATTTCATTTTTCGCATAGGGAACAGAGCCACATTTGTTTTGACAAAACGTTTCATTTTATTGCATGGTCACCATGATCTATTTTTCATATATATACTTTGAGGTCCAACTGACCAACACCAGTACACCACCCTCCAAATCCGGTATAGGATACGACATAGGCTGACAGTTTGAAGAAGTTTGTGATCCTATACTGGACAGTATTATAATTTAAGATTCAAATAAGACCATGTGCATTACTCCCTCCATTCTTATGAAGTAAAACATGTTCTAATTTTTTTATTAAGAAAAAAATCTAAAATTTTGAGTAAGTTTATAAAAAAATATATCAGTATTATTTATAGCATTATTCGAGTTCGGTGCATTCCTATAAACGTGGTCAAAGTTAGAGGAGTTTGGCTTAAAGAGAAAAAAACATCTTACATTTAGAGGAGTAAAATACAGGGTTGGGAATAGAATGTTGTTCTTAGCAGTTTATTCTTTTGGTGTTCGACTGCTAACCCGGAACATCTTGACTGATTATGTAGGCTCGTGATCGGAACTCATGAGGATCTAGAAATTCAAGTCCTGGAAATTAATATGGAGTCATTAGTGTGTCAGCAATAAGGACGTGCACACAGTTGGAGCTGCAGAGCAAAGCACAACAAGCACGAAACTGATCTACGCTTTATCATTTGCCTCCAATGTGCACACACAGCAGTACAGCACACGTATTTGCTGCAACATGCTATGCAAAGTTGCAAACTCAAGGGCAAGTCATATATTGACGAGGCTTTCAACATTATTTACATGTATTATGGTTGTACGAGGCTTTCAACATTAAGTAAATGTTTGTACGAACAATATGACAACAAAGTAGAGCAAGTCTAAGCTTGTGATTTTCACTAATTTGTGTCATGGGCTGTTTTCTGATATATGTACTGTACTGCACTAACCATCCGTGTACATTTTTCGTAATGGTATTGGCTACATCCTGAAGTTCTTGTGCAACTCATATCTTTTGCTGTAACCGCTATGCTTTTTTCTCCCTGTCTTCAATGTAATCTTGTTTTGGAAAAGAAAAAAAATTGTATTGTATCATGTGATGTATACTTATTCATAAGTCACTGTCAATCCAGCTGAACTTGCTAGTTTTATACGTGCAATGAAAACACAATTTTGGGTAGACGGTTAGGCAACTTTAGCTGTATTGTATCACAGTAGTCCTCAATATCTCAGTAGCAAATATTTCGTCATTTGTATGGTTCAATTTCTAGGATTCGTTTGGCACGTTGCTGGGTTCCTGTCATGATTTTAACGATAATATATGTATATACTGTGTGAAAGAATATGAACACCGGTATGAATGGATGGATTGCATTGGGATCCTTGGTCGGTACATATAGAGTGCTTGTATGCTTACATGCTAGGATGAATGGATGAGAGCAACCTAACCTATCTATAGCACTAAGACCAGGTACACTAGCCTAACTATAGCACTAAGACTAGGTACACTCTAACATCCCCTGCAGTCACAGCGGGAGCACCGCATCCGGTGCTGGAGAAGAAGTCAACGAACATTCCCCCACAGTCACAACTTAGCGCAGTGCAGACCCTAGGACTGGAGAGAAAACCGATGAGGACTCATGCAGATGATAGCCCTTTGTGCCATTGTCGAGGTAGCCAAGCTGAAGGGCGCAGTTGCCGTGTTCGAAGAAGCCGTGCTGGAGGTAGCCGAGGTCGACGTAGCTGTGGTCGGGTTGCCGTGTCATTGGAGCTGCGGGCGCACAAGGGGCACCAGGATGATGACGGAGACGCGTCGAGGCAGTCGTCATGGGAGGAGGTGATGCCGAAGTCGACGCAATCAAGGCCATCGTGGACG